TGTGTGAAAGGGGAACATGCTACTACATACGTGAAGACTGCACAATATATATACACTATGCAGTAAAACTATAACAAAGCAGTAAATAAAAGTAAAGTTCTAGTAAGTTCCACATGATACAGTTATACTATTTATACTGTATTGCGAACTTTATTCAAAATGGAGCTTTTCAAATATCACAACATGACCAGCAGCTGTTCGAGGAGATGACATTTTATCACAGATCTGACGCCAAAGGTGCATCATACTTTCTGTGACATTCATGTTTGCGACCGTCCATTTTAATTTAAACTACACCTCGCTCGATGTTTCAGCAGAATCATTCATTGTTTGGAGCCCAAAAAAGAGCAGCAGCTCAGAAAGTGACACATAAATAACAGAGACGTTAAAAAGACAGAAAATGGATTCAGGCAAAGTGTTTCTTTGGACTCCGACTCAACCTGCTCCTGCTTTACTCCGCTGACGTCTCCATGAGCAATAACTACACAAATATTACATCCAGCAGTTATATAAAGACGACAGTGAGCCAGCTCCTGCTTCTCCCACAGGAGGGTGCTCCTCGCTCAGCCCTTCTGTCTGCAGGGAGTCAGCAGGAATAATGAAGGAGGTCCCGCAGGCTGCTATCTCCAGTCAGCCAACGGTGGTAATAGGGTTACAGTCGACAATTTGCTGCTCTTCCCCTTCCAGCTTACATCGGCCTCTCTCATCGCTCCTCTTAAAAGCGGAAATCTTAATCGTTCTGCCAGCAGAAATACAGTTTTGGCTTTGAAGATGTTATTCCCCCCCCTCCTCCAAAGAAATAAAGTTTTGGCTTTGAAGATACCATTATTACAGCTATATTTATTTATTTATATGTTTATTTCCCCGACAGAATGGATTTGACTCTTTAAAAGTGTCTGAGGCATTTCAGGTTTTAACATTAAAACTTCAAAAGTGTTTCCAGCAGTGGGGCTGACAAATTGGTCCACAACATTGTGTTTGGGCCACTTCCTATTTTCAGAAAATAAGTCTGTCAAGTACAGAGGATTTATTTGTACTCAAAAAAAACATGGCGTACAAAGAGTAAACGAAAAGGCATTATATGATCGTTTCCGTCCAGTAGTGTAATTGTGGGCATAAATGTTTTATGCACCAAGAACCATTCTTTGCATTTATGTAATTTAAGTGCAGCTTTATAACATTGATCGTGTCAGAGATTTATTCAAAGCTTCAACCGAGTTGCTCAGAGTTTCAGTGAGAGTGCTCTGAAATTGAGGGTTTTCCATAATAATGTTCTATATATATATATATATATAAACTACAGTATTCACACATACACGGAAACATATTGTCGATTTTGTGACACCTTCGTTAACAATGGTATTCAAAGTGTTTTTAAGTTTTAGTGTGATAATGGCAGTGTGTGATTCAAGGAACAAACCGGAGCAGCGTTAGAACAACCTGTGAATGTTTTCCCTCTTCCACGTCTGTTTGAAACTCTGTAAACACCTGTATCAATGTGGGAGCAAGTCATCCGCTGTTCTGGTTCATGTCCAGACACGAAGGGTGAGGTTTGGCAATCCGTCGTCCTCTGGCTGTGGTTCCTCATGCACAATTTAACACTGAGGAAACAAATAAGGAATGAAAGACGGCTGTCGTGTGTGGTTGAGAGTGACACTGTCCTGCCGTAAAAAAAACACACAGGTCAGTTTGTTATTACCCAATGATTCCATGTTCTTGTTTGACCACGGTGATATAGGGTACGCCTGCTGCTGCAGGGAAACTATTTCAGGAGACACGGGGTTGTATCAGAGGAAAAGGGACAAACACCACAAAACAGTCTTTCAGGTTGGAGGACACATGTGAGAGTCTCAACCACCGCATGGGAACACCTCACAGAGCTTTTATTTTGAAAGATATGACCAGTAATTGATCAAAACAAATTCAGTTTCACTTCTAGAAAAACACAAGATGAATTGCAGATAAACCAGGTGGGATGAGCACAAGTCTGAATATAAAAAAAACTATGAATATATGTAATGAATGGCTGTTTGAGGAGGGCTCACTAATGACGAGTAATTCTAACAGGAAACTACACTCGTTATATTAACGCGCTGAAAATCCCCAAAAGTATAATTACTTTAAATTACCAACGATGAGATATTTTATTTTCTATCGTCTTTTAAATGATACAAGATGGAGCCTAATTTGTTTCATCTCATGTGGAATCAACTCATATATTTCCCTGTTGTGATTGAACAAACAGCTCAGCTAAGCTAATGTGTGCTCCTAATGTTTCAGAAAGACACCAGTGACAATTCCTCTTAGAAGAACGATCTGAGCCCATAGCAGCTCCAGTTATGGTCATGAGAAGAAGTCTAGACAGAGAGGTAACGCACACAGACAGACTGTGAGAGACGTAATGATCCATGACTCTGCATGAGCTCACTGAACATCTGCACGGAGCAGAGTCGAGCAGGGAGTCAGGACGTATACGCGTATTATTTTAACATCTGCTTCTACTGGATTTATGACCGCAGGGTTTAGTAACGTCACATAATGTTCTTGTGTGGTGAGTAAATAAAAATCTGACAGTGAGATTCTGCACGAATGCTTAGAAGTAAAATACAAAAAATTACAAGAACAGGACAGAATCTCAAATAAACCTGAGGGACACATCAGGACCTCATCATGTCCCGGTGCTAATATGAGCAACGTCCATGCTGGTATAGCTTTATTTATACTACTCTGGAGTGATACTACCACTGTTGCATTGATAAAACATATACTACGGATAAAATATTTACTATATAAAATATGCAATACTTTATAAAATTCTGTGTCTACAGTATATTTTATTTGGCTCAGGGCCAAGATTGTGGCTTCATGTATTGAAGTGGAAAAAGAAAGAGTGTCTAGCTGACACCTCAGTATCACCCCCGTCTTACGTGCTGCATAAGTAATGTGACTCTGGAGGAGTTATAGGTTAATATGATACCAGACTACAATGTGAATATATATTATTCAGAGATAGAAGAAGGAGCTGCAGAGAAGGAGGTTCACGAAGCCTCTCTGTCACTACGTGCACTTGATTCTTCCATTTAATACAATTCTAAATGTGAGCACGTCATTGATTTTCTCAAGCTCTTCTCATGGATCGTCGTTTTTTTATTGGCTTCTCCTTCTTCCTGGAGCAGCAAAGGAACGGTTCATTCTCAGGGTTTTACATTTTGTATTGTATATGTATTTTGATACTTCAGGGATACACATATTTATTTAATGGTATTATTATTCCTTACTCTGTTTTTTTTACATGCTCTTTCGTTGTGAAACAATTCACTATGAGGTGTGTTTTGAAGAAAATATTAGAATATAGCAGAGATCATAGTTTACACCTGAAGACGAGGAAACGCATCTGTTGCAATTTAAAAAAAACGCAAAACTTTCTCCGGTCAAACCTCCCGGGAGGAAGTGGGACAAAAAAGAGACAGATACACTGACACACACAAACTGACACACACATAGCAACATATACTTTCAGTGTTTCTGTTGTCATTAATGGTGACATCATCCGGAGCAGGTTTAGATTTGTGACATGGACTTGACAGACAGACAGACAGACAGTTCATACTGACTGACTGTTACGGAAGGAATGCGAACAGTCTTACTCATGCGCCTCATTATGTGTCCTCGCCTCATGGAGGTCATACCAGTCCGTCAACCGATGCCAGAGATGACAGTGAATATTATACAGCTGCACTATGAACATGTAAAAGACTGATTCACTACTTTTTGGGTCACTTTAACATATTGTTTATTTACTATAATTTGATTTGCACCTACACTAAACTTATATAAGACAATTATACATTGGGGACGTGCAGTCAGTCAAGAATTAACCTGCGTCTGGAACCAGCACGGGGCAGCGTCTGATTCCTTCTAGCAGGCTTTACATTATGTAACATTCATTGTGATGCGCCGGAGTGTTTATGTTAAACCTCAGCGCTGCAGCATCGCGTCGACTCCCAAACTGATCTCAGCCTCAATGTGTTTACAGCTGTTTCATGGTGTAACAGCCCAGAAACCCAGAAACATACATTTTCCATTAATTACTCCTCTCTGACAAAAAATCAGTTAAAACATATTTAAAAAAATATACAATGCTGTAATTTGCTCATAGGTGGCGTTGATCTTCTCGTGTTGCTCTTGGCAAGAAAGCGAGAAAGTGTATTTGAGATACATTCAAGGCAACGCTAAGCTAAATGCTAAACGTATAAGGGTACAGAATTCTGTCAATGAACACACACGAAGAAATTGCTCTTTTGCAATTAAAGAGATTACATGGAATTGTGTCACCACCAAAGTACATGACTTTTTACAAATATATCTTTTGTTGGATTAAATATAGATATTCTGGTTCTAATTATTAACCGTCTTTAAATTTCAATATGCTGTTTTAACTTCGCCATGGAAAGCCGTTCTCTCTCCCTCCGTCACATCAAAGCTTAACGTTGGGCGACTTCTTAAGCAATTGCAATTTTCTCTTGAGGTCCATCTGTCCTAATCTCTAAATGAGAGCTCTGTGCCTGGCAGCCTGATTTACAATTTAAATTGTAGAATAGGACGGAGAGAAGACGAACTTCACCATTAAAAGAATGAACAAAATTGAAAATTCTGACGGTTGGATTTAGAGTTTAATTTGATTTTGTGCCTGCAGCCTCCTTTAAACTGGTGCTGTGTAAGAGAGAAGCCTGTCATGTGATGATTCTTCTTTTTTGTTTAATGTTTAATTCATTCTTTACTCCTGGGTGCTGTCATGAATTATACTTGTTGTGACTCTGATTGGCCGTTTATAAAAAAAAAAAAAAAGGTAAATGTTGCTGCGCAGATCCATGAAAGTAAAACTTTGAGGCCCGGCTTCACAGGCAGTTTCTTTAGTGGGCAGGGCAAAGGAGGCTTCACCTCATTGGTTAAACGAGCCTCATGTTAAAGTTGTGACACAGAAGATTCAGCCTCATTCCCAAACTCCACGCTCCACAGAGCTCAGACAGAGACACAGCAATGCTTTCCTTTCCTCTGCTCTAATGAAACACCCACTGTAAGTACATCTTTCTTTAAAACAGCAAACTGTCGTTGTTTGATTCACTGAGAAGTTTTATTTATTCATCGCCTCTGTTTTCTGCTCATAGACTATTCTGAGTTTTGTGGCAGCTCGAGCAAAGACGGCAGATTCCAGTGAGACGTCGACTGTGAAAATGAATTATACAAGGTGGGTTCATTTGATTGTTTCCTTTCTGGCAGAAGTTGCAATATGTGCAATGACTCTGTGTGGGTGTGACTGTAGATCTTATTTTAACCCTGTCATGCTTCGTCTTCAGAGTTCTCCATGCCTTTGGAGGTCACCCCCAGACCGCTGTGATGCCCATTGACCTCGCTAGGTGCCTGAGCCTCAGTCGGCGCCAGCCTCTTCATCCCCTGCCGTCCATGCCTCCTCTGAAACCTGCACAGCGTTATTGTCAGTCGACCGGCCCTGCGCCCAAGAACAGCCTTCACTCCCCACATCACTCTTCCTCTTCGTCTTCATCCTCATCACAGCCCTCCTCCACTGCGCCCTCTGAGCCTCGGAGCTGTTTCCGCAGGGACAGCGGCAGTCTGAACAAAAAGCGTGTGGTGTTTGCAGATGCGAAGGGGCTGGCCCTCACTGCTGTGCGTCTCTTCATCCCTGAGCCCTCAGCTGCCTCCCCTGCTCTGGTGATGAAACCCTCGCTGGCCAAACTGCAAGGCCAAGAGTTTCGTCTGGGTTTCCCACAGCCGACGCAGGACCTTAAATCCTTCCTTGCACGTCTGAGAGACTTGCATGTGCAGCTGAGAAGCTGCAACATTTCAGAACACTCCCTGAGAGGCAAAGTATGCGTCTCACATGAGAGTATTGAGAAGGCCGTGCAGATAAAGTTGACCTTTGACTCTTGGCGGAGCCATCACAACATTCCCTGCACATTCCTGCAGCAGCAGCGCTGTGGAGGCTCCGATGTGAGTGTTTTTACTTTTGACTTGAGTTTACCCCAGAACATTGATCCAAAGGAGAGAATTGAGTTTTGCGTGTCCTTCAGGCCAGGAGCTGGAACGAAGGCACACTGGGATGACAACAGAGGGCAGAATTATAGGCTGTGCGTGGAAAAAGACGCACCAAACTCAAACCAAGGCGACGTTAACCGGTTTTACCCGACACTGTCCAAACATCAGCCACAGACTTGGCCGTCACGTGTGTCTCACAGTGTGCAGACCTCTGCTGACCTGCAGTATCTTCACAGGAGTTTATCGAGCAGAGTCAGAGAAGAGTGGAAAAACTTTGTGTTCAGCTGAGAAGACCACATGTTCTCGGCAAAAAATATAATTTATTCAAAAAGTATATGTAAAAGGGAAAAGAAGTGTATGAACTTTCTCAAATGTCAGTGTTAGATGGTGTAAAGTCTACTGTTGGAGAAAAAAAGAGCTCACCCAACCTGAGCTGAACCCCCTGTTTAAATGTGAATATGTTCGAGTTCTTATTAAAATTCTTAAAAGATAAAAACTTTCTGTTTCTCTCCTCTGTAGAAGTTCCCACACATGCCACACATTCATAACTGCAGATTAAAAATGCATTGTGTATTAATACACATTTGCGAAGAGACGCAACGCATGAAACGTGAGCCCTGCTGACGAGACGGAAACATGTCGGTAAACAAAGCCATTTCTTTTTTTTAGGAGCTTTTGTACCTGCTGCTGCTAAACCCTTTTACTCCCGGGACATTTGAATAGTTAACAATGTCCCTGACGTACTTTCACACAGACATTAAATCTCTTGGCCCGGGCTCAGATGTCTTTTCATGTGATGGCAACAATGTCATGCATACCAGAGGGAGGAAGTCAACAAGCTGAGAGATCCTCTGGGCAGACCACAACACTCCCCCACCTGCCGTGGGAAGTAGACTAACACGCTGGAAACCGAAACTTCTTGTACCAAACCTGATGGGTTTGGCCAAATAGCAGGTAACCATGGCAGCATCGAGCTGGCGTTGAACTCTGGGTATTGCACGGGCTTGTGTTCACATGCAAGGGTGGAGTCATTTTGAGACATTCAAGCTGCAGCAACAGTGAGAAAAATCTCTCTTGGCTCCTCTTGTTCCACTCCTTCTTACTCACCTCTCTGTTCGACCAGTTTCTTTGTCCCTGTCCTCTTCTCTCATGTCGGTATCCTCCCAGATGAATCAATGCTTTTTTAAACTGTCAGTTTGGATTGTTGCACACGTGCGGTTTTACTCGTGTGGCAGTTTTTCCAGACGTCGCAACCTAAAGCACTTTCATCAGGCTCAACAGTTGTGGTTTGTTGTCAGATGTTACATCCCCCCTCCCTCCGAGCATTCCAGTGAATAATAAGCCAAACAGAACTGTTAGAACAGGACACGCTGTCAAAACAAGAACATTTGTTTCTATTGTTATACACACAGATCATTAGTGTCACCCTCCATAAATCAATTTACGACTCGTCTTGGAATTTTTTAATTAACCTCAGAAACTCTGTATCAAGCTCAACATCGCCTCATCAGTATATTCATCATATGCAAGTTTGCATACAGTATTTGCATATTTGTCAAACAAGATTGTACTTGTATATTGTATTAACTTGAGTGTTCTGATGTTTTGTTTGAAAGGTGTTTGGTTCATCCTTAGAAAAGGTGACTATGGGAGAAAGAAGGTAAAAGTGCCTTTACAAAGAAAACTCTTTAAATTCCTACACACAAAAAACTGCACTGTCGTTTTTTTTAATCTTCTTTATTGAGGACTGCAAGCATTGGTATTATTCAATGAAGAGCAAATATTAAAGTCTGTGTATTACTTCCTGCAAGCAAGGAAAGAAAAAGCTGGATGAGAGCGCCCTCTATTGGAAACCACAGCTAACAATAGATTCTGCAGATGGAGGGAACCTGGGATTTTTACACCCAGAAAAAAATTACAGAAGCAGAAAAGAAATCATGATACTGTGAATGTGGCAGAGTCACATTCCTCCTGAGAGCTCAACGATGGGTGTGTAGGAATGAATCCTGCGTTCGATATACTGCGGAGGTCTTTACTGACAACGGTCGCTGGGCAAGTGCTCGTGCTCAGGGATCCAAGGCGACCTGGCGAAACACTCGGCGGCCTTCCTGTCACACTCGCAGATGAACATCTCACATTTGTCGTTGTCATCTGAGGAAGAGAGAGAGAGCACGAGGTGGTTAGGAGCTTATTTCTTCGTCTTTAATAACCTCAAACTCTTGTTGTCTTGGTGCACTCACTGCCACAGGTGACCGTCCTGCTTGCTTCGTCACAGCTGTAGGAGTAGAACTCGGTGTAGGGGTTGTCGAGGATGGGCCAGCATTCGTCGTGCTGCATGGCGTCACTATAACACTTGTCGTGCACTTGGCAGCACCTGCAGGTTTGACAACACAAGTGTTCAGAGAGGCCGAAAAGACGTTTGTATGTCATCATAGCACTGAGCTGAGAGAGTGAATGAATCACGACCTATCCAGTTCGTCCACAGGCGTGCCAGAGCCGCCCTTTCCACAATAGCAGCCGTAGTCAGCGTAGTCCATAACTGGCCAGCTGTCGGGCATCGTGCACAGCATCATTTGCCTGAACTGGTTGAGCGCCTTGTCGTTGGTAGACACGGCTGAAGCACAACAAAGTAGAACGATGAATCAGAGTCAGTTGTCATATTTATCCACAAGGTAAATGGGGAGAAGCTTTTTGTCAAGTCGTACTCACCCACAGAGAGGCCGGCAGCCAAGAGAACCAGAGAGTGGAGGGTGTTCATCCTGAGAGTCAGAGCTTCAGCCACAGCTCCAGCTCAAAGTTCAGGCCCTCTTTATATATCGAGCATCGGGCCGTGTGGCCCCACAGCCCTGTCAGCTGTTAATACTACATAGGGTCGCACGCCTCGCAGCTCCGAGATTCAAATAAGAACCAACATGTGCAAAAAGCAAGAAGATTTCCCACGCACTTCTTTGTGAAGTCATAGCTCAGAAGCTCAAACAGACGCTGTGAACAAGGGAGAGAGAGGATTGATAATGTCGGCCTTTGACTTTATTTGTAAAATTGTGATTTCTTAAAGTAGCTAATTCTCTGTAAAAGAACTTAACATCTCTAGAATAGCCAGTTTATTGTGCTGTGTTATAACTAAAGAAAAATAAATAAATAAAAAAAGGAACATATATGAATAATAAGTGGGGTTCTTTATCTTAAAGTTATATTTTTTTCTTCCTTCCTCCGTCTCCCTTCCTGATTTTTTCCAAAAACAATATTAATTTTGTTCCCTCTTCCGTCTCACATCAAATGTTTTAGCTACAACTTCTTTATCTCCATTTAATAAATGTCATTATTTGCTTTCTTCCATTCGCTCTGCTGCATTTAGAAACCTCAGAGGAAAAAGGTCACTTTTCTTAATATTCTGAACAGACACTTTTCATTTTATTGAGAGAGGCCGCAACAATATACAGAGAAATAATTACTCCTCAGAGGTTTCCAACTGATTTACGACGTCTTTTACGTTATTTATTCCAGTACTGCTGCAAAACAGGACGCGGAAAATTATACAGGAGTGTGGTTAGCTGTTCTCATCCAAGTTTCATTGGAGATATGACAAAAAGTAATGCATTATAATTCGTATGTATTCTACGCAATCATGGGTCAGGAGGCTGGGGACCTATGAGAGAGACAGATGACTCCAGCCTCCAATGTTTGCATTACTCTGCATATTCATGTCGTAACATCATGTGCAAAAAGAGAGATAACGAACTTTACATTGGAACTTTCCAGCATATGTATGGAGACGTGGAAAATCCCGAACGACAAACTTACATCTTGGATGATATGAAGAGGACGATAACAGTGGAGGGCAATATTTGCTTTTAAAGTGTGTAAAACTTAATTAACGTCGTCGAAGTCTTTTCTTTCTTCTTCCTATTCAGGTAGTTGTTTGAATATTCAAAATCAGATAAAAGACAGTGGCTTCTGAAATGTTTGAAACTTAAAATGTACACACAGCCTCAGACTACAAGAAACAGTTGGAAGAAAAGTGGGGAAATGAACTTCACTCAGAACCAAAGACACCGACAAAGACTGTGGAGAAGACTTCTGTAATTAGTTGATGAAAACAGAGAGAATGGAGTGACTGATGGAGGTGTAGCAGCCCAAACAAGTGATTTATGTCTTTGCTTTATGATTATATAAGAAAATATAAAAATA